TCCCCCGCGGCCAGTGTCCGCCTCCCGGCAGCTCGCCCGGCCGCTCGGGGCCTGGGGCAAGGGAAGCGGCCTGGGCGCCCGGGAAGGCCTCTGCGGCCGACCGCACGGCCCTGGCTTCCGTCAGGCCCCAGCGGCGGAGCCCGAAGAAAGTCTGGCGCGGCAGCCCCCCAGGACCCCAGCCGCGTGTCCGCAGAGGGGCAGGAGGCGGCGGGAGGGAGGGCCCCCGCGGGGACCGAGTGAGGGACCCACGCTCGGGGTGAAATTGAGGGCTCCTTGAGGAAAGTGGGGAGGGGCTCCTGCGAGGGGGGAGTGGGTGAGCGCCCTCCCCAGGGGATGAGGAGCCCCGCGGGGGACAGCCAGGCTGGGCTCCGTGGGCAGAGAGGGAGCCCCGCGGCGGGGGGAACGGGCCCTGCGCGCCGGGACGGGGGCGGGGCCCCGTTAAGCTCCGCGAAAATGCCCGCGGCGCCGCGGGGACGGGCCCCGGGAGAAGTTTCCGCCCGCGCGCAGAGCCGGGGTGGGTTCAGCGCCCCGGGCCGCTCGCGGGCAGGGGGACAGGGAGAGGAGCCGGGGCCGTTTCCGGGGAGCTGGAGGTGGGTGCGGGGCTCGAGCGACCCGGGCCCGGCGACGGGCTTCCTCGCCGCCTGCGGAGGAGCCGACGCTCCGAGGGCGGGGAGCGAGCCCGGCGGATGCTTTCAACTTTCCTTCCAGCCGCACGTTCTTGGGGGCCTTGTCTGATTAGGAAACTCCTGTGCTCGCCGCTCAGCACACACAGCCTGAGTGAGGCGCGCTGCGTAATTAAGCCGCAGCCCAGACGCGGCGAAAAACACCAATTAAAGAAAACAAACCGAGAGAGAAAACTAAAAACACAAAACCATGTTGTGAGAGCCGTCTGGCCTCATTAAATGAATCAGCGCCACTTCGCTGCAGCTGCCAACCGGGCCGTGGGGCCGCGCAGAGCCGCTCTCCGGCCAGGCCCTCGGCCCTCCGGCTCCCTCGCGGCCGAATCCCACCCACGCCGGGGAAGCAGAGGCTCGGCCGTGGGCGGCCGCGCAGGGCCTGGAGCCGCTCGGGGACTCCCGCCCCGGGCCCGGGAGCCCCGTGGGGGCCACTGCATCTCCAGGACGCGCGGGGCGCCTCCCTACGCCTGGTCTACAGGCCCCGGCCGCTCCGGGCGCTGCGCGTAGCCCGAGTCCTCCCCAAGCCGGCCAGCCTCCTCTTTCCACCTCCTCGGTCTCCGGACCGCAGCCGCCCGTGGCGCCCCTGCCCACTGCAGCCCCGTGGCCGCCAGCCGCGCAACCGCGCGCGTCTGCAAAGCCGCAGGGCCGCGGTCTGCACCGGGGCGGGGCCTCGGGCGAGCGTGGGAGCGTGTGCGTGTGTGTGCGTGGATGAGGGTGCGCGAGGAGCGCGGGGTGACCGCGGCGGCCGCGGACTCTCCATCCGGGCTGCGTACAGTAGCGCGCGGCGGCGGCGGGGGCGCGCGGGCCAATTCCAGGAGCCCGCGGCCGCGAGCCGCGCCCTGGCTGATACCGGAAAGGCCTGTGATTGGCCGGCGGCCGCCCCTATGCAAACGAGCTGAGGGAATGGAATTCCTCGGGCCGGGCTTACAGTAAAAGCACGTTCATTTCCAGGCACTCTCATTCATAGAGCCAGCGGGCGCAGGCGGGACGGGCGCCCCGCGGCCGGACCCAGCAAGGGTACCACGCTGCCCGGCCCTGCGCCGGCAGGCATCTCTTCCTGGGGCCCCTGGGGACACCAGAAGAAAGTCAACCTTTGCTGCTTCTCCTTGACCTGCGTTGGAGTTTCGATTTGTTTTTTTCTTTCTTTCTTACTTTTGAATGAACTGGTTTCTTGGCTGGATGGTTTAACTTCTTTCCTGGCTGTGAACTTTTCTCCGGTTGTTTCCTTTGACAACTGCAAGAGAAAGTACGCTGTGCTTCGAGGCGAGCCGTGAAGTTGCGTGTGCGTGGCAGTGTGCGTGGGAGTGTGTGCCTGCGTGTGTAACTCGAGCCGCTCTGTCTGTTTCGATCTGCGCTGCAGAGCCTCCTGCAAGGCCCGCTCCACCTGCTGCGGTTACGCGGTGATCGTGGGTATTGGCGTGTCCGCGTAGTTAACCGGCCGGCTCTGGGGCGACGTTGGAGGAAGATCTGATCTCGTACCGCCTGAGTCGGGGCTGACTCAGGGAGTCAGCGTAGACAGTGGCTGGCTTCTGAAGAGTGCGTGTCTGCGTGCGTGTGACTCGGCTGCTGCTCAACTCCCACCAAACCACAGGATCAGCCACAAACTTAACCAACATCCCCAAACCCGAGTTCTCAGATGTGGAGAGCTGTACCCTGAGTGTCATCGACTTGGACCTTATTTTATTTTTTAAGATTAGCTTTTCTTTGAAAAGCTGAATTTTCTGAACTGAGAATTTTGCCAGAATTGGAGAGAACATGACAAGTACTTCTAGCCCAGCCCTTCTCCAACTACTGAAGCTGTTTTTCAAGGCTACTTAAAAAAAATCTGCAGCGAACATTAATGGATTTCTGTTGTGTTTAAATTCTCTACAGATTGTATTGTAAATATTTTATGAAGTAGAGCATATGTATATATTTATATATATATGTGCACATACATTAGTAGCACATTTTGGAAGTCTCAGCTCTTGCTTTTGAGGACCGAAGCCTGTTTTGCATGATAAAAGTGGCTCTGAATATGGAAGACACTCGTGTATTTGGTGTTGTGTTGGGACTTTAGACAAAACTCACCTGGGAAAAAACTGACAGGCGATTAACTACTGGAGCTTCCAAACAATGTATTTGCTGGTCCTTCTGCTCTCCGCATAAATATTTTAGGAAGTGTATGGGAATTTTGCCTCCGGGAACTTTTGTAACAGCTAAAACTGAACTTAAACTCTCAAAACAAGACTCAGAAGAAGATAGTCTCCCTTGGCATTTGACTTTGGATTCTGGTCGCCTACTTTTTAAGGCACTAAGCGGTCGGTTGCTAGGAGCCCTGACCGAGTCTGAGGCTCATCGGCATAACGAGAACTTGCCCCCTCCTGGACTGTTAGTAAACTTAGTCTTTCCCCTCCCCCAGCCCCCCCGCAGCAATAAAGGCCCCGAACTTGTATGTTGGTCTCCCAGGAGCTGCTTGCTGAAGATCCGCGCCCCTGTCGCCGTCTGGTAGGAGCTGTTTGCAGGGTCCTAACTCAATCGGCTTGTTGTGATGCGTATCCCCGTAGATGCCAGCACGAGCCGCCGCTTCACGCCGCCTTCCACCGCGCTGAGCCCGGGCAAGATGAGCGAGGCGCTGCCGCTGGGCGCCCCGGACGCCAGCGCCGCCCTGGCCGGCAAGCTGAGGAGCGGCGACCGCACCATGGTGGAGGTGCTGGCCGACCACCCGGGCGAGCTGGTGCGCACCGACAGCCCCAACTTTCTCTGCTCCGTGCTGCCCACGCACTGGCGCTGCAACAAGACCCTGCCCATCGCTTTCAAGGTACTCGGCCCGGAGCGGGTGGCGGGAGGACGGGCGGAGGCCGGCCGAGGCCGGGGGCGATCCGGGAGGGCAGCGGCCTGGCGGGCGGGGCCGGCTTCTAGGAGGGGCCGGCGCTGCCCTCGGCGGCCCCTGGTCCATCCCCCTGCGCTCGGGAGACGGGGGATGCTGCGTTGCCGTGGCGACCCTCCCGGGGACCCGCCTCAGCCCGCCAAGGCTGACTCCCGGAGGGCGGAAAAAATCAGGATGCCCCCGAAGACGTCCACAGTGGGCCGGTGGGGACCTCCCTGGCAGGGGTCCTTAGCTTTGATACAAAGTAGGAAAAGTTATAACCCCAGCAAGGACTAGCCTGTCTGCTCCCGTGCTTCTCCCCCACCTCCGGCTTGACTTCCAAACCATCCTGACTCCCTCAGATGGAGGCATCAGGAAATAAAACGGACATACTTTTATACCTTCGGGTCAGTGCAAGTAAACTGATAAGGAAAATTGTCAGGGCTTCCCACCGCCACCCCCTCTTAACAGCCCGATAGGAATTAGCATGTTCAAAGTCCACAGCGGGCGTAGTTAAGTTTGCAAAAGTTTTCTGAAGAGTTTTTGCGAGCTTCCAGCCCGCTCCTGCCAGAAGCCGCAAGTAGCGAGTCCTGTTTCTTTTCCTGGAACCCTCCTGAACGTTATCACTGGCTCACCTAGATTAAGCCCGGGGCAGCGAAAGGTGACAAAGCTGTCTTCCGCGAGCCTGGAGTCTAATCGCCCGCATTTCTGTTTGAGGAGGGGGCGGCGTGGACCAGGCGGCCTCGGCGGAGCAGCTCCAGAGGGATCCGTTCCCTTTTCACCCCTGATCTTGCCCTAGCTTTCAGCTGCCTTTAAAAACCTTGGCCTTCAACGGGGATATATAAACAACCCCGGGCGTTTTTAAACAACCATCCCACCACCCTGGCCGCAAACAGCAGAAATTTAATTTCGGCGATGGGGATTCGGTTCTTGGGTCTTGGGTGGGATTCAGATGGGGCAGCTTTTTAGTACAATCAGTGCATTTATTGCTGTTCATTTAAAGGGCGAAGGCAGGCAGGTGAAAAAAAAGCTGTAAAGATCAGCTGCCCTCTCACTTTATTTTTAATCTGGTTAAATAATTGTTCCCTTTAAGGGGAGATAAATTTAATATAAGTTCCAGGCCTCGACCGGATCTTGATCTAGTTAACAATGAATAATGTTCACTTTTTTAAGAAGTGCTGTCCGAGTTCTTTACTTTTAAAGCTTTATACAAAGCCTTCCAAACTTAGATTATGATTTCTAAAACAACACAAACAAAATGTGCAGTTGGCTATGTCTTTGGAATTGCCTCCTTTTCCTCTCAGTTTTCTGAAAGCAAGAGTTTTTGAGGGGGATGGAAATGAGGACAGGGTGGACCAGCCCCTGGACTCTTTCCTTTCTCTTCCTCCATGTATGTAGATTTGGGTTGGGAGCCCATTTCAATTTTGTTATTCTAATCCCTTTACATAAACAGACTCAGCCAGCGGATCCCCAAAGCTCTTTCTCTGTGAAAGGGGACCTGACAAGGTTGGGCCCTGGGGTCACTTTCAGATAAGGGCACAGGGAAGACAGGCTGATAATCAATCAAAGGGTCATTTAAACCGGGGTGCCCCTGACACACCAAGGGAGTGGCTTCTAAGGGATCTGTGGCTTCCTTTGGGGTAAATCAGACTCTCTTCTGGATCTCCCCTCCTCTGCCAGGGAACCCACGCCCACATATATTCAGAAAACTGAGTGATTAATAAAGAATCTTCAGGAGTTGAAGTGATGTAGTTTCTCAAGCCACCCCATGAAAGTATTTATTTTTTTCTAAAAGAATGAAAAAAATTGTATAAATTGCTTTTATGAACCATCAGGGAATTCCTTTTAGCAGAAATCTTAATGATAGAAGTTTCCTTTTAAAAATAGCTTTTGACAATTCACTGAAAAACAAATCTATTTTGTTTTACTGAGTGAGAGTTTGTAGGCTACTAAAAGGTCAAGGTATAGATCTCTTGAGAAAGTTCAAGTAGGTCTTGAGAACATTTGGGGACGGGAAAGGACAGCAGAGAAATCAGACCGCTTGATTAATATCTGTCACCACTCCTGTCCCTGTAAAGAAAGGCCTTTTCTGAAGGAGACCTGCTCACTGCATAACTGAAGGAGCAGACAAAATTTTCAGTGAGAGGGGAAATGCAAAGGTTCTGGATAAAAGCAAACCAAACTTAAAACGTGACCGTGGCCCAGCTGATTCACTGTGTGTCCCTCTCCACCCACCCACCTCCCGAGCAGTTTCGACAAAAAATTATTACTTTACAATTTGAATTTTAAATAAGCCTCAGACAACCTCTTTAAGAAGTTAATCAGTACAGAATTATTGTATTCCCTGTAATAAGGAGGAGACAGTGTGAAACTGATAAAATCTGATGACATTGATGAAAAGAGCATTTAAGTGATTCTTTAGGAGTCTTCTGAAATTCTGCATGTAAATCCTCTGCTTTACTCTTTGAAACTAAAGGGAGATTTAAAATTATGAATTTTCCTTAAAATAGATTAAAATCATCCTAATGGCTTATCCTGGACCCCAAAATGTACCCATCTCTCCATTTTTCCCATGGAATACCTTTATTTTTTTAGCGTAAGACGGATACATATTTTTCTACTGAGAAAATCTTAAATTTGCTACATATTACCCATTATTTACAGAAGCAGCCTAAAAAGCTGTTTGGATGACTTAGGATCTATTTTGTCATAGTGTAATATTACAGTTTGTTTAGGCCCTCGTACACCAGAGTCAGAAGGCATGAACATGCCTTTTGCAAGTTCAAGGGCCTTGGATGCTGACAGTTATATTCTTTTCCTGAGAAAGAAATAAGTAATGTGTCTGTCGTCAAGATCAAGGTCCCTAGCTATGCCTTAAATGTCATCTCAGCTGAATTCTTAAGTTCCACTCCACAGCTTTCTTTGAAACACTGGAAAATTAAGGGATTTGAAATAAATGAATTGTAACTGTAATTTCAGCCTAATTAGAGTTGGTTTAAAATGCCAGTTTGAACTATGAACAGGCTAGCCAGAGCAGTTGAGAGAGATTCATGTAGTATAGAGCAGGGTTGATATTCTGCCCAACTTCCTGATACTGTAAAAACAGAGAAGTAAAACAAAATATGAGATATCCTTTGGCCAGCAAGTCTTTTCTTGTCTGTTTGGTCTGTGTTAAAATGTAAATGTTTGTGTTTCTTTAACTATTGTTTATAGCTTTTCATTCCAGATGCTTCTTTTTTCTGTTTGAAGTTAGGTTTTTTTTTTTTTAATTCTCTTTATATTGCCTATCAATGACAAAATCTGTATCAAATTAGCTGATATGTTAGTTTTAATTTTTTTAAAAAAATTTTTACCTAGTCTAAGTGTGCTTTTTAATAATTAGATGATAGGCATTATTAATGTAATTTCACTGGATTTAATATTCTCGCCATTTCCCCGGCCAAAATAATCCCTCCGAGATCAATAAAAGGCCAAGTTAATGATCTTTGAGCACCAAAATATCTTGGACTTCTGCTGCCTTTTTTAACAAGGGAGAAGTGGGAGTTAAACTCCGATTTTTTTGAATCTCAAATTCCAACATCAACAATCTTTTCTTATTTAGCCACGATCATCTTTTTAGTCTGTATTTGTTTCTGCTTGGTGAAGGTCTCATGGATTTGCCAAGTAACTGATGAGGATAGTTTTGGAAAGATGAGTGAGGCGCAGGCATGGAGCACTCTGGGAGGAGCCAGGGGAAGGAAGGTGATTTAGAATACATTTTAGTAGTTATAAAACCAGATTTATTTATTTTAACTTCTTTACAGATTTTGTCCCAACAATGAGTTATTGAGTTGGAAAACCATGTCGTTGATGCAGTCCCTGTATACTTACTGAATGTTGAGTTAAAATAGAGAAGCCAGGTCGCCACAGGGAGATGGGGTTGAGGAAGTAAAATTATGGGTTCCAGGAGGGCATTTCAACACTGTGAGCTAATTTTACAGAGGGAAGTGAAAATAGGGGGGAAAAAAGTGGAAAAATTTTTAAGAGACTGAAACGAGAAAAATAAAGCAAGCACATTTTGTGGGAATAGAAAAAAATGGTAACAATAAATAACTGAGCAGGGAGATTTACTTTAATGATGTTCTTGAAACAAAAGGGAATTGTCATATTACTGCTCTTAATTAATTGGCAACAAACATACTTAACATGGGAATTAAATACCTAATTAGATACAGGAATAAATAGCTGTGTTTTTAAATCTCCCTGATAGAAAACATGGCTGACATTTGGATGGAGAGGATTAGAAAGAAAGATAAAAGGCCTACACCTTGCTTGACAGTGCAAGTTGGATAAAATAGATGGGGAAAATGCCTGCCTATTGCCAGGAGAGTTGATTCTCCTGGTGTGGTCTTGAGGTGTGAAGGAGGTCCACTCCTCATAGTAAGTTAGTTCATTTTCCCTGTCACACACCTTAGAAGCCAAGAGCTGAAGCATCGTAAGGAATAAAAACAATAGACAGTCATCTAGATGACACGGGAAGGGGTAATGACTAAGCAGACGAAGAAGATGGGAAATTTGAGAAACATGGCTTTGCTATCATACGAGCGAGCCTACGGCAGCCTTATTTACAGGCAGAAACAGAGGACTGAAAATATAGGTATTACCTCCCCAAATTATGTAGCAATTACTAGGTAAAAATGGGGAGGTGCAAAACGGGAAAAAATAATCACTGTGGATTGCTTTACTCTCACAACTCAAAAACAAAATGAAGAAAATGATTATATAATTACAATGATTAACACAAATTTCACTCTTTACTGAGAAAGTACCATAAAGAGTATCAGAAAGGATAGGAACAAGTACAACTTGAGGCATTTTCATTTGAAATTCTATGACCACTTTTAGAAAATAGAAACAATGGAAATATAGCTAACAATAAATGTCTAGACCAAGAAATAGTTTCTAGAAGGGTCAAATGATGACCAAGAAATGGATACTACTGCACGAAGCATAGTTGTGCCATGCTCTTCAGAGCATTTTACCTGGAAATCATTGCTTTTTTATTACCTGAGTATCAAAAATATTTATCTACCAGTTTTCTTCAATAGCTCTGATAGGAAATCCATTCCTATTCAATTACATTAAAGGAATTCCTCTTCAAGATGAGCTGGGTTTGGAGAAAACCTCAGTCATCTATCAGGACATAGTTATGTATCAGGGACTCACAGGTATGAAAATGCGATGCAGTTCCACTCCTGAATTCAGAGGAGCACGTAAGAGTGAGCACCCCCCCTCTCTGAGGTCTGTTGATTCTGTAATTAGTAATAAGCAAAGAGGATATTTCTGAATTTTTTCCTTGCATGCCAGAATTCACTGCTAGTGAAAATCAAGATAATAGAAGCAAGCAAGGAGTTTCAAAGATCAACTGCAAAGGGACAGTTTAAGTCATTCAAGAATTGTCAGCAATTCAGTTGTAACGATTGAATTTATTTTTAGCAGAAATAAGTTTTAACACTTAAAAGTAAGGTTGGCCCTGTTAGGCCTGTCATTGGAGATCTGGACAGGTGAAAGATGGGTTAGGTTATAAACTTACCAAAACCAGACATTCTGTTTCTCAAATATGAAGAATTAAGAAGAGATAATTGTATTCATGAGAAGGCATAGCTTTTAAAGTCCTTGCTATAGTTAGTCTTGTTCCAACGGTGCCGTGTGACCTTACATGGCTATATTAGGTGGATGTTTTATGATTTGAAAGTTTGTATTTAGTTACGCATGATGGAATTAAAAGTAAATCTTCCCATTAATAGCTTTTCTGTCATTTTGCTTAACTTGTGATTGCTATTCCTTTGCAAACTAAAAAGTATCAGCTAAGGGGCAGGCCTGGTGGCATAGTGGTTTTAAGTTCACACACTCAGCTTCAGTGGCCGGGCTTCATGGGTTCAGATCCCGGGCACAGACCTATACACTGCTCCTCAGGCCATGCTGTGGTGGCATCCCATGTACAAAATGGAGGAGGATTGGCATAGATGTTAGCTCAGGAAGAGTCTTCCTAGAGCAAAAACAGGAAGATTAGCAACAGACGTTAGCTCAGGGCCAATCTTCCTCACCAAAAAAAAAAGTATCACTTAATGTACATTTAATTTTAGAACAATTACTACGCAAATGACATAAAAGTTTATAACATTCCTGATGTCTGCATTTGTCCCTTGGCTGGTGTTTAGGTAGTGGCACTGGGGGACGTTCCAGATGGTACTCTGGTCACTGTGATGGCGGGCAATGATGAAAACTACTCAGCCGAACTGAGAAATGCTACCGCAGCCATGAAAAACCAAGTCGCAAGATTCAATGACCTCAGGTTTGTCGGTCGGAGCGGAAGAGGTATGTATCTGTCAAAACTGAACTTGAATCACAAAGTATTTACATGGCAACAAAGCCAAATTTCAAAACTTCTAGAAATTTCTGTCATGGGATCCCTTGAAACGGTCTTTCTTCTTGTTATTACTATTACATCAAGCTTTTAAAAAATATTTATTTAAAATTTAATTTTTTTAATGGAATCTAGCTTTACATTATTGCCTTCTATTATTGAATTGGTTTAAGACTGATTTGGAACATGCAAAACCTGAATTGTGAATTTCAAAGAAACCCCTCAGATCTTTACTAAAATGTAAAAATATAAAACTTACCATGATGGAAACTAGGATTATACAATTGGAGTTCTCTGTTTGGTAATTATCAGAAATCTACTTAATGGAAGCCTTTAACTTAGGATCCATGTGTCATCTGTGACAAGTGACAGAGCTTCAAATGTCACTTCTAATAATTTTAAGGGATCTATAGTGTAAGGATTATTGAAATGTGGTTTCAAGTAACCTTATGTATTTATGGTAAAATATGAAGAAATAATGTTAGTATCATTCTGATTTGGTAAATTTGATGGCAATATGACCTTCCTGTTATATATAATTTGGATGTGTTATTATTATTTGGGGGAGAGGTTGGGCCCAGTTAATATTTTAGGTATGAATGATATTGAAAACTGGATTATTCAGAGGAACTATTCCATCAATGAGGTTCTATGTGTTGTTTTGTTTTTCTTTGCCCCTTATCAAAGTATTAGAGCAGGAAGAGGAATATTGGCTCGTTGTAATCTCCTTTGGTTTTCAATTATTTTCAAATATTGTGTTTTCTCTGGATTTTAAGAACCTAAGTTGTATTTTATAAATAGCAATAGTACGAGAAATTTAACTGAAGGAGGTAGGATAGCTTGTTTTGCAAAACTCATTTTTGTAATATAGTATTGGATAAGCTTACGAATAACAGTTATTTCGAGTATAATAAAAAGACCCGATAAATACCTAAATAACAGTAGATGGCTCTTGTATTGAAAAAAATAAAAGTATAACCAATGGATATTTAAATATGAGAGTAATCATAACTCTTTGTGAAGGCATTCAAAAATATGACAGTCTGTGTTCTTAGGGAATTTGATTAGTTGAGGAGGGGAAGGGGATAAAGGCGTGTTGATTTTTTTGGCTATTGTTTTTACTATCCTAGCTGTCTGGAACATTTTCAAAATAGAATCATAGGTGGAGAAAATTAAAAAAACTTATACCGTGATTGAACATATATGTTCATAGTACTAAGTATGTTAATAATAGGGTAATACAAAGAAAATTATATCTACTTATTGACAGTATGAGAGATGCTATAAGGTATAAAAGCATAAGTCATTAAATGGGTTCACTTGTTATATTAAAAGTCCCCGCCTTTCAGTAAATGGAATTCACATTATGATTCAGAGATGTGTGTTTAGAAAAGATCTTGAAGGCTTTGGATGAGTAGCTGGCGGAGTGGATGAGAAGCCAATAAAAAACCAAGGCCCCACTGCCTGGTCCATGCCTACCAGCCTAGCTAAGACTCTTAATTCAATTCTTGTGGATTTCTGCTATTAGGAATCGATTGCCGAGTGTCATTTGGTTGCATTTCCAGAGAAAGTAATATCATCATTTGCAATCTACGTGTCAGGTTTTGGTTATAAAAGTTTTGGAAACTATTTAATGGCCCATGCCAGGGACATTTTCCCGTAAGAAGTTCAGTGGTGGCTTTCTGGCAATGTGCAGTAAGTCGGTGATAATGAAGAATGAGATTTTGAAAGCGGCGAGCTTCCTTTTCTGGCGTGGAGGGCTGGTCTCTCGTCCCCCATTGGCCATCTCTGTTTTGAGTGGGTGACTAAGAGGTGCTTGTGTTTACTTGGGTAGCAGTGAACTGTTTCCCCAAGGTGTGGATTGTTTGCATTCGGCTGCCTGATTCGTGCCAGTATGCCCTTGGGTTTGCATAAACCCCAAATAGTAAAATAGCCGTAACCAAGGCTGGGCTGTCTTTTGATAACTTGGAACAGGAAAATTAATTGAAACGCCATAAATGGACACTCTCTGTTTTGAACGGGCTCTGTTCCCACGAGTGATAAAAAGCAATCTAAAATACAGGAACCCCAACTGCACATTTGACCCAATTATGCTTACCACGTATGTTGTCGGTCTTGAGTGATTTTTTTGGGGGGGTGGGTACTACAAGCTGTGAAAAGGCCCCCTTCGAGTCTGTCTCATAATTTCTCTCCAGACTCGTAAAATACAACTTGATTTTACTCTTTCAAGTGTAAGTGTCAACATCAAAGCCTGCCAGATTTTTTTTTTTTTTTGCAATTTGCTTCCCATTACAGAGAGAGCAGATGATTCTCACTAATTTTGACAATTAGTCTTAATCTTCCTCCCTGAATCTTTTCCTTTAAAAGTTTCATTACATTTTATGAAGCGATCTTAAGAATATCTACTGTTTCATTTTCTGTTTTTGAAAATGTGCCTGAAAACATGTCATTGACATCCACACACCACGCAGTGGCCGAGAAGGTCCCGGCTGTTGGCTCATCTCAACATTTCAATGCCAATTTCACATTCTGTCAAATGGCACTGGGCTGATGGATTCTCAAAGGGGCCTGGTGCTCAGTTCCAAATGAAGGGTAGAGAAAGAAAATCTTTTTTCTTTTCCCAGCCACCAGTCCATGGGGATTGTAAAACCTCGTAGAATTGCCAGAGGTTGAACATGGAAGGGTTTTTCTCTGTTCTACAAAACTGATCTGTCTGGGCGTTGGCTGACGTCCAGGATCACAGCTCCTAACCTCGGGTTCAGCCTGCAACTGGGAAAACCTGCCCGTCCAGCTTTTAAGGCCTTGCTGACAACACTGGCCCCTAAAAAATATTCATGAAGGCTTCAGCAGTCTGAACCTTCTTCCTTTTCTTCCTTCCCCTCCTTTCTCTCCCTGTCAATTTAAATCTTGCTTAGGGTATATCTCATCCTTGGAATTTTCTCAATTTAATTCAGTATCTCCATATAAATTGGCGTTCCTTTACAATGGAAGAAGAGACAGCGGCTCCCTGGAGATGAGAGATTATGTTGAGCACACACGTTGTTGTTCAGAACCATCCACACTTAACCACTGGTTCTGGGACTCTCCCTTACCTGCAGAGAATCCAAGTTCAGGATCAAAAGGAATTCTCTTTGTCGAGGTTAGTTAGTAGCTGTTTACATCAGTTTACACCTGCAGTTCAGGCAGGTGCTATTGATACTTTCAGTTACAAGAAAGTGCATCACAGCTGCAGCTGAGAGACATTTAACAAATTTTAGCAGTGAAATCTGTGAGTGCTTCCGTCTTGTTGGAGTACTTAATCAGTTGGAAAGGCATCGATCAATTGGGTAATACGACTTTAGTTAATTCATTTTAGAACCAAAGAGGAAATCTACCAGACCATATCATCAACCACATAGTAAATGGGGGGAGAGAATCCACTCCAAATTTCCTTCTAATTTTTCTAAGAATATGATTTTTAATCCTTTGGGAACATCATAGATAATTTTGAAAATCCTTTGGAAGCCTTCTCCCAAGAGAAAAAAATGCATATGTGCACTTAACACACACAGTTTCATGTATATTTCGGTTTCCAGGGCTACTAAAGCGCGTTTATGGGCCTTCCGGGGATCCATGGACCCCCAAGCCAAGAATCTACATATTTGAAATTTTCCTTGACCATGGAGGGTCAGCCTAGCACTGTGCTGCGCATTGTAGATAACTGGAAAATGAATAAATAAATGAATAAATGAGGTAGATGTTCTTCTTGGCCCCTGTGCTGTTTTGGTTACACCTGTTTTTATTATAGCCGGGACCTGGTTTGTTTAGTTAGGAATGTAGATCCCGTTCAAACTGCTGGTCCAGACCTTTGAAAGGCCATCAGGTGTGCCCGCACGTAGCTCCTTGCAACGAGGAAGGACCCATTTTATCATTGAAGTGGCAGCCTCTTCTCTAGCGACTGCCTGGGCCTCTGGCTGCAGAGTTGCAATGTGCATTCCGCCACCAGCCCAGTGAGGACACATGTTCTCCGGTCTGTTGGGACAGGGTTTAATTTCTCGGTGGAATTTGAGTTTATGTTGACCTCCCTGGCAACTTTAATCTTGCCCACTTTCAAAATAGTACCCTTTCCCAACGCTTTTATAAAATGAAATTCCTTCATTATGTTCTTGCTGTGGATGCCTTCCCAGACATAATATTTACTCGGTCACAATCTAGGTTATTGCATATTTGGGTAATGTTTGTTACTTAAGGCATGTTCATTCTTAAGTTATTTTACATTATTTGGGGAACAGTGTGAGGAGGTAGCCTCTCAGATGAGGGAAAGACTGTGGTTGAGATGAAGAGAAGGTACATTTAGAAAAGGATAAACTGTACTGGTATTTTAAATGAAAAGAGACATGTCTTTATGGAGTGGTTATTACTGAGAAATGGTCTGAATGACTCACAATACTGTCATAGGATCCAAGTCATTCTCTAGTCCATCACAGACTCATATAATAGGGGAAGGAAAAATTCATCTGACAACCCCAGAGTTGTTCATGGATAACATTCAAGATAATAAGCTGGCTGTCAGACCTCCTGGAGAGAATTCTAAGGAAAAGACATGAATTGTATTAAAACCAACTCTCCTATTTTTTCTCCTTTTTTCTTGGTTGTTATTGATCTATATGTTAAAATAATATATATATTATTATAATATTATGTATTATATATATTATATATATATAAATCTGTTTCCAGATTTCAGTGTGGGCAAATATGGATGAAAAAAGACCCAGCCTCTGATACGCCAAGCCCCAGGCAGCCCTAGCAAATAATCCCTTTAGATGGCAGGTCCACAGCTTGTGTCCATGTAGAATTCATCTCGAGAGATCAGGTTTCTCGTTCTGTTGCACATTTGCCAATAAAAGAGTAACAACACTTTCTTAAAGCAAGTTGCTCCCTGCCCCCAATCACTGCCACCATCAGTCACCCAATAACCAGTCTCTGTCCTGCTTAATGCCATGGCAGGGACCAAGGAGAAAAGCTTTCTTGAAAACTGCTTGTGCCTGGAACACGCTGTTTCACAATTTATTCCTTCTTGGTGTGCTTGCTGATTTTATGAAGTGCCAGGCAAAGCTGATGGTGTCAGACAGCTTGCTTAAATTGAGATTATTTGTATGAACGATATTTCAGAGTTGATGGGCAGAAGCTAGACTTCTCTCCACCCACCCTCCACCCCTTCCTTGCCAGCCAGCTTGCATGGGGTTGAGGTCGTTCTTTTTGGTGGGGACAGAGGACTATCAATCAGAAAGTGCCTCTGAGAGAAATGGTTGAGTGATTTTTAGAGCTTCCTGTTTCAGCAGCAAGCATCATAGACATAAACAGTGATCCGGCCAACGGCTGCAACGCTGCTCTGGTTCTAATAAATCAGTTTCGTATTTTCTTTTTGTGCCGGTTGGCGAGGGGCAAGAAAGGGTGGAGAAGACTGGCTATGGAAGAACATATTCGGTGTCTTTTTTTATTTTTAAAGAAAAATTACTTGTTGAAAAAGAGAGAGGGTGTACTCTCTGATGACTGTTTTCTTTCTGTTGATTAAAAAACAAGTTCAGATCAGTAAGAGGATGTTTATGCATAACCACATACTGTCCATATGGAGAGGTTATGTTGGACTTTTAGCCAGTGGGGTGCGTGTGTGTGAGTGTGTGTGTGCGCCCATACTTCCACTGAGAAGACTCTTCGGACCAAATTATCTTTGGGGACTGAATCCATGCTCATAACATCTCATCTGAAGCCCAAATGAAGCAATTAACAGAAATTAATAAGTGAGCAGCGTGGATTTAACGAGCTGCCTATGAGTACTTTCAAATGTGCCGGTTTTATCCGCTCACTCGTGGGGCGTGGGGGACATTGCTTCTCTTCAAGATTTTTGTATTTATAAACATGCATTAGTGGACATCAGGCACGCCTACCCTCCAATATTGGTTCTGGTGAGAGTCCCGCATTCAAAAGAGACATCTCGTTCCGTATTAAGAACGGAGCTATGTGAGCGATTCGTTTTGTTTGGCGCTGATTTGGGCTTCCAGCATGTTGCTCAGCCTCTATTAGCCTATATGGGGAAGCGTATCCCATTTAGAAATTCCATTTTATGTCACTGAACTTTCTCCAATGAGAGTTTCAGGGAGTTGAGGACCCATAAATCGTAAAGTGATCGCAATAACCTCCTTCGAGAGACTCGTGGCCGTTCTGCTGCAGGATTCAAAATGCGCTTCCTCTGATTTCCCCGGTGAGGAAGCGTTCATTTAGGAGCCACTTAAAATTGTGTTTTTCGCAAAGAGGATGTAAGCAAATTTCCTGTTTATTTTTCAGCTCAGATTAATCCCTGCTTTTACCTTGAGATTTAAGACCGTCATGAAGAATGCACAGGCAGCCCCGACTGCAGAACCCACCACCTGCCCCCAACCTCCTCATTCAGGGAAACTCCCAGTCTGGTTAATGGGAGGGCTGGCCTGTACCCTCACAGTGGTGTGTGGCCCTGCCTGAGTCACCTTATGCAAACAAAGGAGACTTTCCTTGGCTCAGACAAAGGCAATGCACAGGAATATGGGCGGTCTGAGCACACACAGTTGGTGATCTGTGTGCTTATCAGATCTCGGCAGACAAGGCGAGGAGGGATGGGCCCGTTTGGAGGTGGAAAGGCTCCAGTTTGCTCAAGGCATTGGTTTTAAGTTTTTATAGATGTTTTTCCTTCATTCTACTTGAAACCAGTGTATAGAGTACAGTCAGCATCTATGTATGTATGTATCTATCTATCTATCTACCTACCTACCTACCTACCTACCTATCTAGCTAGCTATGTATCTATCTGTCATTACTGAGGAACTGGTCTAAGCTCATCTCATAATCAGGCTTCATTTGCCTCTTTATTTTTTTATGTTTTATTTTTTTGTGTGTGAGGAAGATTAGCCCTGAGCTAACATCTGTTGCTAATCCTCCTCTTTTTTTGCTGAGGAAGATTGGCCCTGGGCTAACATCCATGTCCATCTTCCTCTACTTTATATGGGACGCTGCCACAGCATGGCTTGACAAGCAGTGCATCGGTCCGAGGCCGGGATCCGAACCTGCAAACCCCCGGCCACCAAAGCGGAGCATGCAACCTTAACCGCTATGCCACCAGGCCGAATTTGCCTCTTTAAATGATGTCTCTCCAGTTTGTACAACACTGGGTCTTTCCAAATGTTCTGCCTTCGTCATCCTATTTGAAACCTCAGGCCAGGTCAGAGTGGGTATCTTATCTACCTATCTGCTTATCAATTTTGGTGATGGTCTCACTGAGTGGTGCCCAACTGGGGTGATTTTGACCACCAGGGACATTTGGCGATGCCTGCAGACGTTTTTTTTTTGTCACCACTGAGGTGGAAGCAGTGTCACTGGCATCCAGTGGGTGGGAGCCAGGGGTGCTGCTCAGCACCCCCCAGTGCCCAGGGCAGCCCCCCGAGAGCAGAGATCTGCCCGATCCAGAATGTCAGTCATGCTGAGACTGAGACACCCGTATCCAGCTCCACACTCCTTCAGAGTAAGTTGTAAAATGTCTCCTCTGGCCCTCTTTCCTAACACTTCTTGCCTCTCTACAAAATTTATGAAAAACGTATTTAAAAAGTTCACACAAAAAATTAGAGAGCATCACTGAATATTGAAGTCTTTTTAAAAAATAGGAAACGTACGAGTGTCCTGTGTGCATAGAATTGTACCATCTCGGCACATCCTGGCTCGGGGAATGTATGGTGGCTGGAGGGAGGCTGGGGCCGGGTGGGCAACCCAGCAGAGGAAGCTCTTCCTGGAGGACACACCCGATGCAGCCACACCCTCAGGAATGTCACACAGGTGCAGGTCCACAGGGACCGTCAGAAACAATAAAAGTGCACTGTTGGCTTCTCAGTGCTCAGCACCACCCCCCACCCCCTCCCAATGCTTCAGCCAGGGGACCACAGATCCAGAAACACGAATTGATGTGAGTGGACACTGTCCACTTGAACTAAAAAATGCTAAAAGCAAGGTCCTGGTATGCATCACCTACAGACACCTTGCAGGCACCAAAAAGGGCTCGGTCTGCACACCTGAAATAAAAACGGAGGAAATGCATGAAAGGGGTGGAGAAGGAACCGAGGCCAATATGCCGGCCATCTCTGAGACAGCCCTGGGTTTGCTGCCACAGGCTGGGTTTGCAGGTGCCACAGGCAGACAGCTGGCCTGGTTCCTCCAGGGCTTTCTCCCACCTGCCCTGACGTGTTAGTTCTGCCATCATCACCTGTTCTCCATACTGAGATTCAGGGAAAGATTGCTGGAGAGAAAAGTCTGAGAAAAGAGTCTTCTAGGTGTTTTTGGTGCATCAAGGTGGTGGCTGCCGCAGGTCGAGTGTCGTGAATACGTTTTGCTGGGCGCGCTCTCCCTTGTTATGTTTGCTTGCTTGCTTTTACACTGCATGGGGACCCTCATTCCTAACTTTCTTGCCCCAAGTATACATCTGCTTCTTTAAGCTCCCCTCAGTAAAGCAACCAGCTCCCCGATTCAGCATGGAGATCAGTTGCGTGTCAAATAAATGAGACTAGGAAGAGTGAACCGTCCAAATGGGAGTTCCCGGGCAGCGTCTGCACCAGGACGGCACAGGCCCACATGCTGCTCCTAGATGTGCCTGGGAGTGAAGGTCGCTGGGGAAGGAGCTCGGGAACAGCTGTGGCATGCACGGGTGCACGGCAGTGGTAACTGAGACCCATGGAAAAGACATGAAGATGTGGCCGGAAGCCCCCAGGAGGGGGACTCCCAAGAATTTTCAAATCCCAAAGATTCAGTCCTTAACCAGAAAAGCACCCTGGGGTGTCATCAGTAGTTAGATCAGTGCCAACACAGAGCAGGGTCTCATTAAAAATCTTTACATGAGGGGCCGGCCCAGTGGCATAGCTGTTAAGTTCACGTGCTCCACTTTGGCAGCCCGAGGTTCGCAGGTTCAGATCCCGGGTGCAGACCTACACACTGCTTATCAAGCCATGCAGTGGCAGGTGTCCCACATATAAAGTAGAGGAGGATGGGCACGGCTATTAGCCCAGGGCCAATCTTCCTCAGCAAAAAGGGGAGGATTGGCAACAGATGCTAGCTCAGGGCTAATCTTCCTCACCAGAAAGAAAAAAAAAGAAAAAAAAGAATCTTCAAATGAGTGACTACCCCAGGACTCTTTCTACTCTGGGCCTTAGAGCCTAGTGGTTAGTACACAGACTTGACTGGCTTCTCCACTCAGAGGAAGATGTCTCTTGCCCGGCACTATCGACATTTAGGGCTTATTACTCTTTGTTGTGGGGCCATCCTGTGCATTGCTGGATAGTTAGCAGCATCCCTGGCCTCTACCAAGTAGCCAGTAGCCTTGTCCCTCCCAGTCTGACAACCAGGAATGTCTGCAGACATTGCCAAATGTCCCCTGGGGAGGTGGGGTGGATGATCGCCCCTGGTTGAGAACACTGGCTTAAAGCTGTGTGTCCTGAGCAAGTTACTTAACCTGTCTGAGGCCGATTCTGCCTTTGTCTATGGGGCCGGGGGATACAGTGAGGATTACCTGAGATAAGACACACTTTAGAGGTTACTACTTTGCATGGTAAGATCTGGTGCAGTGACACTCACTCTGCAGAGTAGATGATGGAAACTCTGTGAGCTGGTAACAAACAAGAGCAACCAGGACCTCCTTTTTTGTTTCTCTAAGTGGATGAGTTTTCCAGGAGGGAACATCAACCCTTATCCTCCTTCTTCAGCCCCACAGAGTTCTCAGGTCCCGAAAGGGTTATCCACAGCAGGCCCTGGGATTTCAGATTAGCAATGGAAGAGACGAAATTACATATGTACTGTAATTCGAAGCACTGTTTTCATGGGAAAAGGAGTTCTCCCAACTCAGCCCTTCCAGCTCTTTTGTCCAAACATTAATGGCGTGCAAATATTTATGATTCATACATGCCCCTTTAATTCCCGATCGTATTTTCACAATCAACACTGCGCTTTAACAATGAAGCAGAATAATCCCTTTGTCCTGTCACTAGGCTCTGCAGGCTGGCACCCAGCAGCATCACATTCTTCCTGCGTGGTAATTGCCGGCTCCACCCAAGTCGAGGGGAGTTTTATAGTAGTGCCACGGCGCCTCGCCTTGGACTGTACTTAAGGACATCCCGGCTGTTCCAAGGAAGCCATTTTAAGGTTGTATCTCAGCGTCTGCAGAAACTGCATGTGAACATCCATGCTTGTTTTTCTTTTTTTGGCCACATATAAGTGGAGAATTGATTCATCGGGCTGTGACTTGGAGAAGTATCTTACTACACTATTATCTTGCATTCTGCCCAAATCCATGAGGTCTAGGTTACACCAAAGCTATTATGTCTCATTGATAGTCCTCGGATTCACAACAACATAGAAACATGCACCTCCATTTGTAATGATTCTGCAGGCGTTTGGAAGGTAGAGTGACATAGTATGAGAAGTGGGTGTTCTTGCAGGACTCACTGAGATGTGCTGGCCTCAGTCTCCCCGTCTGTGCAATAGCTATGACAGTGCTTTTCATATACGCCTTGAAAAGTTGTTAGAATGATTTAAATGAGATGATGTGTGTGTAACAAGACTTAGGAAAAAGAGCTACCACTTGCCTTGGCGTTGTTCTTCCTGCTACAGACAGACTCGCTGAGGAAGGAAAGAGCAGGGAGGAGTTAGCATGTGTCTTGCTGAATCAGAAAGGCAGGAATGATGCTATTTTCCACTATCCGCTCCTCGATGGCAAGGAATTTGTATTCCTTTATCCTACTAAGAACCTATAAAATGAGAGTGCCTGAGACACAGCAGGAACTACATAAATATCCATAAATAAATACATGAATAATAGTAATATAATCATTCCAGCTGGGCACTGATCATGTGACGGACCTTGTGTTCTCTGTTTTAATTGGTGAGCCTCTCATAGCCTTGGGACCCTTTCCAATCAGGGAAGTATAGCGTCCATTGCTATTTTATTAGAACTGTCCCCCACCCTCCTAGAGGTCATTTAGTGAGGGCATTTCATTCATTCATTCATTCATCAGATATGCATTGTGTACCAACTGTGTGCCAGGCACTGGGTTCCCATTGCAGATACAAAGTTCAGCCAAAGAGGAGCCACAGCCTTTGGGCGCCAGTGAGGGACCAACAACTCAGCAGGCCATGGCCGTTCTGAGTGGTCAGTGCAATGGATAGGTGTGACGGGAGCACATGAGCAGCAGTGCTTAACCTAGTGAAGAGGCTAGGCGTCTCCTGGTCAAATTGTCATCTCAGCTGAGACATTTCAGGGTGTGGAGGAGGCTGTCCAGGTGACGGCATCCAGAAGAGGATCCAAGCAGAGAAAACAGAGTTGGGGAGGAACATCCGGCCGGTTGAGGAGCCAAGACATGCTTGGGCAGCCAGCTGGGGGAGGCCTTGGAGCGGGATGAGACTGGGAGAGCTGTGAAGGGCTGTGACACCCACATTGGGAATCTGGTCCGGTCCTAGTGGAATATGGAGACCCACTCACAGGTTTAAAGCAAGGAATTGACATCACCAGGTACAAATGGTAGAAAGATGCTCAGATTGCACGCAGAAGGATGGAAGGTGCGTTTGGAGGGGACTCGGGGGCTTAGAGACCAATCCAGAGACTGAAAACTCCCATTTCTCCTTTCAGGCAGCCTCAGACATGTGTATATCCAGCTTGCAAACACCCCATTTGGTAAATGTCGCTGTACCTAGACGTCAGCTCCCACAGGCCAGGCCATGCCCACTGCACCCCCTAGCCTTGCCTCAGCTTCTCTCTTTTGCCCGCTCAACCTCCGCCCCCATCTGCCCTCACTGCTTCCTGCAGCAGCTGCTGTGGGAGTTAAAAGCTGGGCAACGGGAACTGAGACCCCGAGGCTGCCTTCCCATCAGAACGTCCACCCCTCCGGCCTCTCTGCGCAGTGCCCCGTGGTGTTGGCTGTGTGTTTGAGGCACTGGGCGATGGGCACAAGCAGGGTCAGGGTGAGGACTAGGTCAGCCCCGGGAGGTCACTTTGGTCACCTGCCCTGTGTTAACCTCTAGCCCCATGAGTGGCGACGGGAGAATTTGGATGCGCCAACCAGAAGGTTCTCCTGGCAGTAGGCGAGGCCATGACCTCAAGAGGGCTGTGAACTCAGGGTCTTGAGGGTGTTTGGGCTAAAAGGATTAAAACTTGATTCCTCAACCAAGATACCCAGGAACTGTGATACCAAGAGAAAAGAAAGATCAGAAAGGGACCGCGAAATCTGGGGAAAGGAAATGCAAAATCTCGTGAGCATCGTGGCGCCTTGGGGTTTGGTAAATATTCTTCCTGCGGAGACAGGCTGGCCCACCATTCCGTCTATAAGGCGGAGTTCACACCCATGCCACGGAAAAGGAAAGCCGTGCTTTCCAAGTGGAATCAGCCATCATAAAGAACCAGCTGTCAAACTGAAAGTTCACAGAATAATTCATTGATCCATTTATGAAACATTTTTTCATGCCTCAGAACAGAAGATGCAAAGATTAATAAAACGTTGCCCCTGTCCTCAAACAACTCATTTTTATAGAACATCTCCAGAGAAAACGCTTTGCATGTTTTTGGCTTTCTTAAACAGCTATTTTTCAAATGATCCATCATTTCAAAAAAAAATGTATTTTTTATGGAAAACTGAGTTCTGTGTTTAAAGCACCTGACTTTCAGTCGACTTTTGGGGGTTGTCCTTGTGCCAATAGCTTGGGCCTCTCGTCTGCATTTTGGAGGCAGGTGGAACTAGATAAATGCCTCTGCAGGCACAAGGGCACTTTGCACACAAGTACACTGACATCTTAATTTCAGTTCAATTTAGTGAAATCAGGAAATTTTGTGCAAGGTGAAGCTTTTGTACCCTATTCAAAAATCCCCAAATAAATAATTATACAGCTCCACTGTCAAAAATAATGGTAAGTGTTTGGGTAAGGAAATGGATGAGGAGCGAAAGCATGAATTTTGACCATTAGGTTGTTTCAGTGGAAAAGTGAGAGACGTAAATTAAAAATACTTTGTGAAAAATACCCCAAATTCAGATTTCGCCCAGAATCTGGGGATGCATTAATTTTAATACTTAGTTACCCGTGATCAATATTAGACCCAGCACAATCTACACAGTAAAATGAGAAGTCTTCCTGCAACATTTCAGAATCTTTTGGGATTTCCAGAATTTGCAAAGAGCAAAACTTGAGCCTTCCCTGGCTTTTCTTGGTTCTCAGAAGCTGTGTTTTTTTTTCTTGGACTTTTTATTGCTCTCTGGTTTTTTAACGTTTGCGAGCACGAGTGGCTTTCCTGCAGAGATGCACAAATGTGTCGAGATTGTGATGAACATGTTGAGATGTGAAAAATGTTGTGATTGCGTTTCCTAAGCTGCATGACCCCCAGGGCAGACCGTCGTCCTCCGTGCACACAGCCTACCCTTGCGTGACAAAGAGCAAGTTTCACATCCCACCGAAACTGCCCCGAAAAGGAGAAGATGACTCGGATCCAAACCTACACCAAGGAGAGGGACAGAAACAGAGGCAAGTGGCTGAGGAGCCAACACAGGCGGACTGGCTACCCACGCACCAAACCTAGAGAAGGATGCCCACAACAGGACAGCAGTCAGAGGGTCTCGTCTCAGACACCCGCTGGCATAGGAGGACAGAGCTGTGATGTGACAGGCACGATCTTCTAAATATAGGATTCCACTCCCGGACAAGAAACGATTTCCAGTCGCCTTTTCGCCTTCTGTTCTTCTGCCTGCCCTCGCCCTTTGGGGAGCAGCGTGCGCATGTGCAACAGTCCTGGGATTTAGCCACTTCCCAGATGTGGTGAAGAAGCAGAGGGTGTCCCGGGCCCTGCGGAACTACAGGGTCCAGCTGTGGATTTATTAGACCGCAGTCAGCTGTTGGAGTTCACCGGCCCCGGGCCGTGATCGGGCTGGCTAATAGAGCACAGCCCCGGGGCCTCATGGGCCTTGGAGACTGTGTCACGGCAGCAAGTGTCCAGGAAGACTCACCCCGTGACCTTCTTCCCAACTAAATAAAGCAGGGAATATTTTGCGCTGGCATTTGGATGAACAAGCTGGCGTCAAGGGGGGCGACACATGCTCCAGTGGGGAGCATTTGGCTGGCTTGTTTATAAAGCAGGATCAGCCAGTCACAGGTGTTCCTTACGCAGGTCGCCAGCTGGCGGGGCGGGAGTGAACTTGAACTTGAAGTCCGAGTCCAGTGTGCAGCTTTCCTGATGGGTCCTTGGATCTCATTCCACCAGCCTGCCCGCTGCCCTCTCTGCTTTGCTGGAATTCCTAGAGAAGAGGATGGGCCTGGTGGAGCTCTGCCAGCACCGCCTGCCGAACGCTGACACCCACACCCGCCTTCCCCCATCAGACCTCAATACCACTTCATCACTCACCGGGTCACCCACAACTCTGGTCTTTGTGGATTTATATTTCTCACATCTTTAATGATAATTAAACTGATATTCGCTGATTCATGATTTCATTTAACTTGCATAACAACACTATGAGATGGAAGGACTGTTATTACCTCCGTTTTACTGATGACAAAGCAGAGGCCCCAGAGAGGTTAAGTAACTTTCCCAAGGTCACACAGCTAGCAAGTAGTAGAGCTGGGATTTGAAGAAAGGCGGTTCAACTTGAGGGTTGACACTCTTAACTAGCGCCCTATGCATTTCTGCTTTCATGGGATTGTATAATCAACCCCTCATCTTTTGCTGCTTCCAGGCATAAGTCAAGACAACCCCTCCCTCCCTTGCCATTTCTTCCCACCTTATTCAGTCCTGGTGTTTGTGCTTCTAACTCGTATTCCTACTGGAACCCAACCACTGGCCAGAACCGTGGCTGCTGTTTGCGTTAGGTTTCCGTCAGTGGGGAAAGAAGGTCATGGTGCTCCCCTTTCCTGTGCTCCTTCCACTGTGAATCCTCGCACAGGGCACCTGTAACCCTGCAGCTTGCCCCCTGGGGAGCCAAGAGCTGCAGCTTTCAGAGTCACGGCCACCTGTGCACCGGCCAAGGCCTCTGTTTGTCTCATGAGGCCAAAGCCAGGCCTGCAGGGAGCCTTCCAGGTCTCCTGGCAAGGACTAGCTGCAGGCTACAGAAGAGAGCATCCGTCAGTTGTCTCTATGGCAGCCCCCTCCTCCCGCCCGGCATTTGGTCCTGCAGAGCGGATTGGGGACTGTTGTTACTGAGCCCGCCTGTCCTCCTCTGCTCTCCTCTGACTTACCAGTCTGGCCGCAGCTTGCTGAGAAAAACACTTGAGAATCTTGCACTCTCCACACCCACGCACTTAAAATACCAGGCCCATAGGTCATTTTAACGAGGGAATCTGGCCAATAACACGTGTGCTCTGGGCTGCAGCTACCATTTCTGCAGGTGCTAGCCAAGAAGGGCTGTGTCTCGGCGGGGATGGGCCGGGGCGGGCGGAGGGCTGAGCGCAGTGGCTCCCAAAGCTCAGAATGTCAGTCAGATGTGCCCACTGGCCGACTGTCGCCAGCCGTTGAGCACGGTGCCGGGTCTGGTGGGAAGAATACAAGAAGTAGATGGCAGGGTTTTCCCCGAGTGAAAAGAGGCCACACACACCGGTGAACAAAAGGTCAGCACGTATTACCTCTGTCTGTGGGGCAAGAAGCAGAGGTCCCCGTGCTCAAAGCTATAAACAAGAGCCCATTGTGAGGGAAAGGACCAGGATACCTCCGCCTTCGTAAACCATATTGTTGTGGCTGAAATGCCCCACCTATTTGCTAGATAGACACTTGTTGTGACTGCACATAAAATGATGGGCGTAAAATCATAGAATTGTATTATGCGCAGTGATGTCACAAATATTCACTTTCGTTGAATTTCATTCCCAATTACGTAGGCCAGTCTGTGGTTAACCAGGGGGCGTCATTAAGCACTTGACTGCCAGGAGCCCAAATTCGGCTCAATAAGAAACTGCTTTTGAACTATAACCCGGGCTAACAGTTAGCCATCGAGTACAGTATGGGTACATTAGAGTCACCGACACTACTGTCACTTTTTTGGGTAGTGGTAGAGCATGGAAACAGTACCACAAGTCCAGAGTCATGGTGCTGATGCCTCTAAGTTTGCAAGTCAAGATTTATGACCTCATGACAGTAATGTGAAGAATGGTGAGCATAAAGCTGGGAGATCTGGGTTCTGCTGTGTATGTGAGCTGTGTGACTTTGGGAAAATTACTTAACCTCTCTGAGCATTAGCTTTGCTACCTATTAATCCAGGACAATAAAATCTATCTTGTTTATTTCATGAGAGCATGTAAGGACCAAATGACATAGTAAATGGGAAAGTGTTTGAAAAGTTGTAAATTCTACACAGACCTAAAAATGCGAATATTATGAAGACAACGATTCTTTGTTGTCATTTAGGAAATCAAGAATAGGGTGATTGTAGGAGGGCCACCCCAGGGGTGGGACCATTCCCAGGGGTCAAACGCACAGGTGCCTTAGAGCAGTTGTGACTTGTAGTGCCAAGACCAGAACCCTTATGACATTTTGTTGTTTGTACTGGATTCAGTAGTGTTCCCTAAAAATTCATGTCCACCAGTAACCTCAGAATGTGATCTTATTTAGAAAGAAGGGCTTTGCAGATGGAATCAAGTTAAGGTGAGGTCCTGCTGGTTTAGGGTAGATCCTGCATCCAATGACCAGTGTCCTTATGAGGAGAGGGAGGTTTGGGAACAAGAGACACACAGAGAGAGGAAGGCCATGTGGGGACAGACACAGAGACTGGAGTGATGCTGCTACAAGCCGAGGCCTCTAGGAACCACCAGAAGAGGGTTGGCAAGGCAAGGACAGACGGATTCTTCCCTAGAGCCTTCAGAGGAAGCATGGCCCTGCTGACACCTTGATTTTGGACTTCTGGCCTCCAGAACTGTGAGACAATAAATGTCAGTTGTTTTAAGCCACACAGGTTGTGGTAGTTTGTTACAGCAGCCACAGGAAGCTACTACAGGATTTTCACAGAATTTCTGAAATGCTGAAGTTGCAGGCAGCAGAGGAAGCACTCAGGGGCATGCGCACACCTACACAGGGAGACGGGCACCGGGGGTGGGGGGGGGCGGGGGGGG